GAGAGGTGTTGGGTTTGCGCCAGACATAGCGTTTTCCTTGATGGCCAAAAAGCTAAATTTGATCTCATCTGACCAGAGTACCTTCTTCCATATGTTTGGGGAGTCTCCCATGTGCCTGTTGGCGAACACCAAACGGGTTTGCTTATTCTTTTCTTTAAGCAATGGCTTTTTTCTGGCCACTCTTCCGTAAAGCCCAGCTCTGTGGAGTGTACGGCTTAAAGTGGTCCTATGGACAGATACTCTAATCTCCGCTGTGGAGCTTTGCAGCTCCTTTAGTGTTATCTTTGGTATCTTTGTTGCCTCTCTGATTAATGCCCTCCTTGCCTGGTCTGTGAGTTTTGGTGGGCGGCCCTCTCTTGGCAGGTTTGTTGTGGTGCCATATTCTTTTACAGTTTTTTTAGAATGGATTTAATGGTGCTCCATGGGATGTTCAAAGTTTCTGATATGTTTTTATAACCCAACCCTGATCTGTACTTCTCCACAACTTTGTCCCTGACCTGTTTGGAGAGCTCCTTGGTCTTCATGGTGCCGCTTGCTTGGTGGTGCCCCTTGCTTAGTGGTGTTGCAGACTCTGGGGCCTTTCAGAACAGGTGTATATATACTGAGATCATGTGACACTTAGATTGCACACAGGTGGAGTTTATTTAACTAATTATGTGACTTCTGAAGGTAATTGGTTGCACCAGATCTTATTTAGGAGCTTCATAGCAAAGGGGGTGAATACATATGCACACACCACTTTTCCGTTATTAATTTTTTTTGAATTTTTGAAACAAGTTCTTTTTTTCATTTCACTTCACCAATTTGGACTATTTTGTGTATGTCCATTACATGAAATCCAAATAAAAATCAATTTAAATTACAGGTTGTAATGCAACAAAATAGGAAAAACGCCAAGGGGGATGAATACTTTTGCAAGGCACTGTATTTACTTGCTTTGATTCACCTCCAACACTACGTCACTCTTGAAGATTAGGTGAGATGATACAGGATCACATGTTGATTTTATCATTCAGATCTTAATGATTATTGTAAAGAATCAATTCCAGATGGAAACAGTGGTGGAAAAAGTACCCAACTGCCATACTTGAGTAAAAGTAAAGATACCTTCATAGAAAATGACTCAAGAAAAAGTGAATGTCACCCAGTAAAATACTACTGAGTAAAAGTCTAAAAGTATTTGATTCTAAATATACTTAAGTATCAAAAATATATAATCATTTCAAATTCCTTCTATTAGGCAAACCAGACGGCACAATTTTCTCTTATTTTTAAAAATTTGACGGATTGTCAGGGGCACACTCCAACACTCAGACATAATTTACAAATGAAGCATTTGTGTTTAGTGAATCTGCCGGATCAGAGGCAGTAGGGATGACCAGGGAGGTTCTCTTGATACAGTAAGTGCGTGAATTGGACCATTTTCCTGTCCTGTTATGCATTCAAAAAGTAATGAGTACTTTTGGGTGTCAGGGAAAATGTATGGAGTAGGAATGTAGTGGAGTAAAAGTAAAAGTTTTCAAAAATAGAAATAGTAAAGTAAAGTACAGATACCCCCCAAAAATACTTAAGTAGTACTTTAAAGTATTTTTACACCACTGGATGGAAAGTTGTCTAATCTGAAAAACTGTTTATCACAACTCCTAAAAATAATAAATCTGGAGAGCAGGAGATTCAATATTCAACACAGCTAATGTGCCATTCATTTTGCAAATAGGGATAATTACTTAATTACCTCAACTAATGATAATGACTTTAATGATTCAGCATTTTGGTTAATTGATCTTGATTGATTGCACACCACCAAACAGGGAAAGAGAATAAACAAGGTAATTTTGATAAAATGTTGGTCAGAACTATTTAGTCTTTGATATTATCTGTATAATAAATAGTGTTATATAAATTAAATTTATTATTATTCATATCAATGCTAAAACATAAATATTTAACATGTGAAGCTACTCCTCCGCCCTCTCATATTTTCATTGAGCTATATTATTCAGACATTCTGAGCTATGCGGTCCCCATACTCTAGTCTAGCCCCTCTTGAAGGACACAATTGCTGTGACAGCAACAAATCATCTACAACCTCTAATGAAATATCACTAAGGCCATTATCATTTCGTAATCATGAGCTTGTTCCAACCGCAGCAAAGGCAGTCAGGTTCTGATAAGAATTAATAGCAATAATGTATGACCAAGTGGTTCTCATTCAAAACAATGTTGCATGCCCATACCTTAAGCCCTATTCTATTTAGCAAAGCTACAGTATATCGACCTCCTGTAGCCTCTATCATGCCACCTCCCTCTTGTCCGTAAAAACCCCTGGCTGCGGTAGTTTGTGTGCTGCTAAGTAAATAGCTCTCAGTAGGTCCTGGCACAGGTCTCTCTCATGCCCCTCTGATGACAAGTATTCCCCTCTCTGAATACAGAGTACTAAGAGGAAGCCTAACACACAACATATTGTATTGTAAGGGAATAGCTATTGGCAGGGGGTAAATGACCACCTTTTCTCATTTTACATGGCTCTGCCCATTTCTTTCTGCGCTTTATATTGTAATATTAGATAAGATCAATTAAAGTATTATACATGTATTTTTTGTATCCCTTTTTATAAGGGATCGGGAAGAATATGTATAGCGGACATGAGTCAGGCTGGTGGTCTCATAATGAGGTAGCCCTGCCTGCGACTTCAAACTCAGTGTCACCCTCGGAACATAGGGAATTTCCTCTTGGTCTAACGGTCAAGACTTTGGTATCTTCAGTGAGAGATCAGGGTTCAGACCCGCAGTGACATATGCCCACTCTACACTGAGTGTACAACACATTAAGAACACCTGCTCTTTCCATGAAATAGACTGACCAGGTGAAAGCTATGATCCCTTATTAACGTCACTTGTTAAATCCACTTCAATCAATGCAGATGAAAGAAGGCTTTTTAAGCCTTGAACAATTGAGACATGGATTGTGTATGTGTGCCATTCAGAGGGTGAATGGGTAAGACAAAAAATTTAAGTGCCTTTGAACGGGGTATTGTGATAGGTGCCAGGCACACCGGTTTGAGTGTGTCAAGAACTGCAACACTGCTGGGTTTTTCACGCTCAACAGTTTTCCGTGTATGTCCCTGTGGAACTCTTTCGACACCTTGTAGAGTCAATATCCCGACGAATTTTTGGGGGGGGGGGGGGGGGAACTCAATATTAGGAAGGTGTTCTTAATGTTTGGTATACTCAGTGTATATGATCAAGCAGCTTGGTGGATTAACAACTACACAATGATGATGCAATAGTGACACCCTATGTCTACTGTATTGTATTGCAATATACCTCAATATTTTACTCATTAAAGAAAACTATGCTGACTAAGTCACTCTGGAATGCAAGCAATAATTGGTAGCGTAGAGTTTGACATTCAGACAGAGGTAAGCTCCTGAAGAAAAGGGGAAAAAGCAGAGGCTTCCTTTTTGATTGTTCTTACAGTATGCATGGAGTGTGCTGCTGAATGCAGTTTGCCCATTGTTGCAACGTGAATAAAAGGCAGCTATGACGATGATAGCGGGCAGATTCACAAAGGGAATTCCATTGATGCTTCTCTGCTGAGGTCACATGAGGCTTTGCTTCCTCTGCATTGTCATTGGGATTGTCAGTCAGTTACCATATGACAACAGCAGCACTGCTCTTTTCTGTCTGTGTCTTGTGGCTGTCCTGTTTTCACCTCTACTTCAATAATATACCAACCCTGTGGTAAAACTAAACCTAGACTTGTTGATGTATGGACATAGCTGTCTGGAAGTGTAAGTTAACACGTTTTTCTTCCAGGCAGTTGAGCAGGTCACAAGAGCTGGGATTGCAGCAAGGATAAGTCAGTGGAGAGAACTTTAGCCTAAACCCATAAATGAGGGCCTTAGCCAAGATGGACCGTAGCATAATCCTCATCCTCTGTTCTGTTCTCCTCTACAGGGCCCCACTGGTTTCAAATGTGGGAGTTTGGACATTTTCCAAGCCTATTGGGTCCAAAGTAATAGTGAGAAAATCATGCATTTTGGGAAGGAGCTCAAAGACAAGGCCCTTTTGTAATGTCCCAGGGGAACAACATTCTGTTTCTCTCCACTTTTCTGGGAATTCAAACACAAGCAAATTCCCATACAGAGGGAAGCCAAGCCAGTGGGTTTGACGGTCTCTTGCGATACTGTTAAGGGCATTAGCTGTCTATTATACAGTACATTGTTGACACTGTAAATAAAAGTGAGAAATAGTCAAAGACACTTCTCAGTAATGTGAAAAAGACATCAGTTGTCTATAAAAGGGAAATTAATTAATTCATTGAAACCAAACCATGTTACATAGTGTACATCTTTAATTGTCATGTTGAACAAACTGTCATGTCCTCCATTCACAAGGCAGTATCCTATCCCATCAGCATCCATAAAATGAACAATTGGACATTTAATACAACAGTACATTTCTAGACAATTCTATACAAGTATTCTTTCCTTCCACAGACAGAAAATGACACTTTCAAGAAACACTTGGCAGAAATTGAACTTTTCCTTGAGGCAGTGGGAAAACTTTAAAAAGTGATTGTTATCTGTACTATAGGTGGTCCAAACTGAAGACTTCTCATGCAGAGATTTACTTTGAACAGTAATAAGCTCAGCAGAAACATTTCCCATTCATACACTCTAACATGCACTGACAGCATAGCCATTTCAGAGGCTGGGCAATGGGCAAGTTATCCATTATATTGACCGAACCATCTAAAACATTCACTGTTCGACACTTAACGATGACCCTGACAGAAGGCAGCACCCACATGAGCTCCTTTTAACCACAGGTTTAAGGACACTGCTGGCCAATCCATTTCCAATTAAATCTAACACAATGTTTATTTCCATCTACATATATTCAGAGAAAAATAATCATGTTAGGTTCAGCCTAATCTCGGTATGCCCAGAACGTAAATCTTGCGTAATTTGATCAGATGCTCGACCATTAATGTTTATGTAGTCTGTCCACGAGAGATTAGGTTTAGCCTTGTATTATTTTTAAATATGCATTAAATCATGCAAGACATTGGAGAAAGGAATCTTATTCCCCAAAAAATGTCAGAGGCTGTCCCTTAAAGAGGAACAATGCTCTTCCTTAGGAAATATATACTAATATTGTTCTGTAATGAGCAATACTCAACATAAACCAAGCTAATAAAGCATGACACCACATTGTTCGAGAATACCACACAGTGCTCAGACTGTGCAAAATCTTTATGCTTTTACTATAGATAAAATGTCTTCTCCAACCAGCCACACAGTCCTTTAAACATTGCTCATAATCCTCCACATATATCCCATGAATGATTTAAGTTGGCATTGGAATTGAAAGAGTACCCACATTGGAGTTTATACAGTGTCTGCATCAGTAACCTTTGGTATATTAAAGGAAGGAGCCTTACAGGCTTCAGAACTAAAGCAGACAGTCAGCCAAGCAAGGGTATCCATGTAAACAAAACAGAAGGCACGATAACTGAACACACGCTGATTACTGCATATTCTAGAACACCCATTGAGAAAAGAGGGAAGGATGAGTCTGTTCTTGTTCAAAGATAGGTTAAAAAGACCATTAATGAGTTCAGATCCTTCAAATCATTCTAAATACAGGAACTTCATTTTGTGGCAACGTTTCTGATGGATCAAGTTCTATTAATGTTGCCACAATAAAGCTCACAATAAGACATTTTGGTTTTCAAATACATGGACCCGTTTACATTTGCAGAAAGAATAGTCTAGCTCTCAATTAAAACCCAAAAGATAAGAAATAAGAATCCATTCCGGAAGCCGGTCCTCTCCCTCAATGGCTTGGTGACTCTGTATGGTGCCAGGTGGGAGTGTGTGTAAGATTGTGGATGCGTGCATGTGTGGACTGCATACCATTGGAATCGTTTGTTGTTACACATTGCCTTTGGCAGCTGTCCAGTTCTTTGGCAGCTGGGAGCCTGATTCTGTCTGAAGAGGTGTAAGTGGTCTGGGAGTCACCAGTAGAAAGAGCGGGACAGAAAGTTAGCCGCAGTGCCGAGCCAGCCTGCTCCGTCCTGCCCTGTGCCCACGCGGGTCACAGCCTTGTCTGGCTCCTGGGACGGGCTCTCCTCCTCTGGAAGGTAGTCTGGAAGATCCACATTCTGCTCCACCGCTACCGAACCGTCCTCTGGGAATGGGATGATTACCTAAACAGCAAAAGGAAGTGCTCAATTCAATGTGCACCCCAAGGTAGATTATATTCCCGGCATACAAGGTCAAGGACCATGGTATTTGAATTTAGATTCTGATTAGATACCCAACTCCTTTTTGTAAGCTTTGTCCTTGAGATAAGATCATTACTTGATAATATTTGTAAAGACCTTCTCTGGGAATTAAAATAAATTGAATTAAATTAAATTGACAGACTAGAAAACAACACTGATTCAACCAAGGCTCTGTTAAAACAACAGAAACATAAAACTGGAAATTAATTCAGAAAGACACACCTCATTTCCATCCTTTCCCCTGACCACCTGTTGAGCTTTCATTACTTCGGTTGAGGCGATGGCAGAACCCAGAGCCTACAGAGGAAGCAGAGTTTTCAATTAACGACACACGTCAGCCATGATTCCCTCCCCCCTCCCCAGAATGTGTTGTTACAGGGCTGCAGGTTGTTTGACTCACCTTAATCTCTCGTGGACATACGTTTAACATCTGTCCAAGCACTATGGGATTTGACGAATAACCAGGAACAACTGTTCCAGTGTGCTGATTTTACAAGGCTGGTTATTTGGACAAATTATAATTTCACAGGGTGTGCACCTACACCTGGTATCTTTCAAATTTTGGAAGGGGAGGGGACTTTTGCCCCATACACTTGCCCGAGACTTGCAGAGAGAGTTGGGTTGAGCTACCAAAGAGGATCCATCCTGGTTCTGCCACTCACTCTAGTGTTATATCTCATATCTTCCCCAGCTAATCAAGTAGCTGCAAGATATTGATTCTGGGTTGCCGAGATTAGACTCACCTCTGCCCTCCTCCATCCCCTCCCCAGAATATGCTGTAATAGGACAGACAGAATGTGACTCACCTCTGCCTTCAGGTCTGAGCGTATTCTGATGATGCACCTCTTAACGGCCATCTGGAATGTGATGCTGATGACACCTCGGATCTTCAACAGGGCCTCTTCACAAATGCTCCTCCGGCTCTGGAGATGAATGGGAATAAATGTATAAACTCACCTTACATCAGGTAGTGGAATACCAGAACTTTCCCCTTAACTAATAGCTACTTACTATAGCATAATGTATTACAGAACCCATAATGCTCTGTGTAACATATACAGTTTTATCTTAGTAAAGAAGTTACTGGAGCTAACATGGTGTGCCGTCTCCTTATCAATATACTTATTGATCAGTATGGGGGCACTCACAGAGTCATCCAGGCCATCTATGTGGAGGACCACTGTTTTGGCCCGCTTGTTGGTGGAGCCCAGGAAGAACTGGGCCTTGCGTCTGCAGGAGGGCCCCTCCTCTGGCTTGCCTGCATCCTCACTGTTAGAGGCCTGGAGGAGTTCATATATTTCTGAGGCCAGCAGCTTGGTCTCTCCCGGGGTGGTTGTCCTAAGGGGGAAAGAGATGGAAGATTTTAGTCATCATCTCAACATAGTGTTAACGTACTGGCTCTTAAAGGCCCAATGCAGCCGTTTTTATCTCAATATCAAATAATTTCTGGGTAACAATTAAGTACCTTACTGTGATTGTTTTTTATAAACAATTGTCCAAAAAATACAAAAATAGCTTTTTAGCAAAGAGCAATTTATCAAGCAAGACTTTTCCTAGGACTGTCTGTGAGTGGTCTGAGTTGGGAGGGGAAAACTGAAAACATAGCTGTTATTGATATAAACATATCTGTTATCCTGTATTAGATTTATGCTAAAATGTTTATTTTATTCTACTGAGCCATTTACTTTATGTTGGTATTCTTATCTTTTATTATTTCTTATTGTTGTTGCATTGTCAGAAGGAACCTGCAAGTGTACCATGTGTATCCCATACATTATTATTTATTCAGGGGAGCCCAATTGAGACCAGTGTCTCATTTGCAATGGTTCCCTGAGGACAACACAAAAACAAAAGATAAAAACTACAAGACAGCTATAAATACACTGAGTGTACAAAACATTCAAAACAATTGCCATGCCCTGACGATATGTGGAGGATTATGAGCAATGTTTAAAGGACTGTGTGGCTGGTTGGAGAAGATACATTTTATAGACAAACATCATGAAGATTTTGTACACTTGACATAGACAGACTGACCAGGTGAAAGTAATGATCCCTTATGGATGTCACTTGTTAAATCCACTTCAAATCAGTGTAGATGAAGGGGAGGAGACAGGTTAAAGAAGGATTTTTAAGCCTTCAGTCAATTGAGACATAGATTGTGCCTTTGAACACGGCAGGTGGCAGGTACCAGTTTGAGTGTGTCAAGAACTGCAATGCTGCTGGGTTTTTCCATGCTCAACAGTTTCCCATGTGTATCAAGAATGGTCCACCACCCAAAGGACATCCAGCCAACTAGACACAACTGTGGGAAGCATCGGAGTCAACATGGGCCAGCATCCCTGTGGAACGCTTGACACCTTGTAGAGTCCATGCCCTGACGAATTGAGGCTGTTCTGAGGGCAAAAGGGGGTGCAACTCAATATTAGGAAGGTGTTCCTAATGTTTTGTACACTCAGTGTACATTACAGCAAGTTCTAATAGTCAATTGAAACAATTGCACACTTCAGTGAACTCAATTAACAACAGAGTTTTAAACTATCCTTACGGCACCAGGGAATCCAGGTGCAATTTGTTTTGTAAAATATTCCATAACTTTGTGGATACAAGCGGGACCTCAAGAGTTAACCAACCCTGCGAACGGGTTTAGTATCTCATATTTGTTTTATTTCAACAGGGAAGTGAGGTATGTTGGAAGCTTGTGGAGCAGAGCTTTGTAAACAAGAAGGGAGTAATGAAGTGAACCATGGGACTTTAGTGAAGTCCAGCCGGCTAATAAAACTTATTGGCAGAGAGGTTTGGAACTCTTTCTTATTCGTCTATAAACTAATTTACCTCCTGGTGATGTCACCAGGCAGGCTAAATATCCATCCCACCACAACAGGCTGAAATTTCACTAAACGGGCAGTATCATCATTTTAAAATGTGCAGTTTTCATCATCACTCTAAAATGTGCAGTTTTGTCACACAACACAATGCAACAGATGTCTTTTGAGGGCTGATTTAATGTACATTTTTCTACCATAAGCCGCCTCCAAAGGAGAATTTGGCAGTACGTCTAACCGGCCTCGACTGCAGACCACGTGTAACCACGCCAGCTCAGGACCTCCACGTCCGGCTTCTTCACCTGCGGGATCGTCTGAGACTAGCCACCCGGACAGCTGATGAAACTGTGGGTTTGCACAACCGAATAATTTCTGCACAAACTGTCAGAAACCGTCTCAGAGAAGCTCATCTGCGTGCTTGTCGTCCTCACCAGGGTCTTGACCTTACTGCAGTTCGGTGTTGTAACCGACTTCAGTGGGAAAACGCTCACCTTTGATGGCCACTGGCATGCTGGAGAAGTGTGCTCTTCACGGATGAATCCCGGTTTCAACTGTACCGGGTATGGCGTCGTGTGGGCGAGCGGTTTGCTGATGTCAACATTGAACAGAGTGCCCCATGGTAGCAGTAGGGTTATGGTATGGGCAGGCATAAGCTATGGACAATTAACACAATTGCATTTTATCGATGGAAATTTGAATGCACAGAGATACCGTGACGAGATGCTGAGGCCCATTGTCGTGCCATCCATGTGCCGCCATCACCTTGTTTCAGCATGATAATGCACAGCCCCATGTCGCAAGGATCTGTACACAATTCCTGAAAGCTGAAAATGTCCCAGTTCTTCCATGGCCTGCATACTCACCAGACATGTCATCCATTGAGCATGCTTGGGATCAATGTGTAGGACAGCGTGTTCTAGTTCCCGCCAATATCCAGCAACTTCTCACAGCCATTGAAGAGTGGGACAACATTCCACAGGCCACAATCAACAGCCTGATCAACTCTCTGCGAAGGAGATGTGTCGCGCTGCATGAGGCAAATGGTGGTCACACCAGATACTGATTGGTTTTCTGATCCACGCCCCTACCTTTTTTTAAAGGTATCTGTGACCAACAAATGCATGTCTGTATTCCCAGTCATGTGAAATCCATAGATTAGGGCCCAATTTATTTATTTCAATTGACTGATTTCCTTATATGAACTGTAACTCAGTAAAATTGTTGCATGTTGCGTTTATATTTTTGTTCAGCGTATATACAGTGCATTCGGAAAGTATTCAGACCCCTTGACTTTTTACACATTTTGTTACGTTACAGACGTATTTTAAAATCGATTAAATTGTCATTTTTTCTCCATCAATCTACACACAATACCCCATAATGACAAAGAAAAAACAGGATATTCAAAATGTTTGCAAATGTATTAAAAATTAAAATATCACATTTACATAAGTATTCAGACCCTTTACTCAGTACTTTGTTAAAGCACCTTTGGCAGCGATTACAGCCTCAAGTCTTCTTGGGTATGACGCTACAAGCTTGGCACACCTGTATTTGGGGAGTTTCTCACGTTCTTCTCTGCAGATCCTCTCAAGCTCTCTCAGGTTGGAAGGGGAGCGTCACTGCACAGCTATTTTCAGGTCTCTCCAGAGATGTTCGATCGGGTTCAAGTCCGGGCTCTGGCTGGGCCACTCAAGGACATTCAGAGACTTGTCCCAAAGCCCCTCCTGCGTTGTCTTGGCTATGTGCTTAGGGTTGTTGTTCTGTTGGAAGGTGAACCTTCGCCCCAGTCTGAGGTCCTGAGCGCTCTGGAGAAGGTTTCATCAAGGGTCTCTCTGTACTTTGCTCTGTTCATCTTTCCCTCGATCCTGACTAGTCTCCCAGTCCCTGCCGCTGAAAAATATCCCCACAGCATGATGCTGCCACCACCATGCTTCACCGTAGGGATGGTGCCAGGTTTCCTCCAGACATGACACTTGACATCCAGGCCAAAAAGTTCAATCTTGGTTTCATCAGACCAGAGAATCTTGTTTCTCATGGTTGAGAGTCCTTTAGGTGCCTTTTGGCAAACTCCAAGCGGGCTGTCATGTGCTTTTTACTGAGGAGTGGCTTCCGTTTGGCCACTCTACCATAAAGGCCTGATTGGTGGAGTGCAGCAGAGATGGTTGTCCTTCTGGAAGGTTCTCCCATCTCCACAGAGGAACTCTGGACTTCTGTCAGAGTGACCATTGGCCCTTCGCCCCCGATTGCTCAGTTTGGCCGGGCGGCCAGCTCTAGGAAGAGTCTTGGTGGTTCCAAACTTCTTCCATTTAATAATGATGGAGGACACTGTGTTCTTGGGGACCTTCAATGCTGCAGACATTTTTTGGTACCCTTCCCCAGATCTGTGCCTCGACACAATCCTGTCTCGGAGCTCTACGGACAATTCCTTCGACTTCATGGCTTGGTTTTTGCTCTGACATGCACTGTCAACTGTGGGACCTTATATAGACAGGTGTGTGCCTTTCCAAATCATGTCCAATCAATTGAATTTACCACAGGTGGACTCCAATCAAGTTGTACAAACATCTCAAGGATGATCAATGGAAACAGGATGCACCTGGGCTCAATTTCGAGTCTCATAGCAAAGGGTCTGAATACTTATATAAATACGTTTATTTTATTTTTTTGTGTAAAAATGTCTAACAACCTGTTTTCACTTTGTCATTATGGGGTATTGTGTGTAGATTGATGAGGATTTTTATTTATTTCATACATTTTAGAAGAAGGCTGTAACGTAACAAAATGTGTAAAAACTAAAGGAGTCTGAATACTTTCTGAATGCACTGTAAAACACAGGAAAATCATGTTTGACTGCACTGGGCCTTTAACCGAGACCCAAGCAAAATTACAAATGCGTTTTTGCAAGACTTACAAAAATACCTCTAGCTCAGAATGTTTGTATATATATATATATTTTAAAAAATACATAATCACTACATCTTAGAGAAGACAGAACACACAGAAAATGCTACTTAGAGATACATCTGGGTCTAAGGAGATGAGCTATGTAATGTTTGACATGAGTTTAGGACCTGTTGCTTTTTTGCAACTGTGCGTCTCACACGGAAAAAGAAGAGATGCAAAGAAAGATTTGCAAAGAATAAAAAATATTTTCTATTTGATAATGATATCAACAGAGAAGATGAGTGAGACAACACTATCATGATCTGGGCTTCCGCAAGGGCCATATACTCACTTTTGCATGACATTCTGAAGACTTAACATCATCCCAAGCTCTCCCCTCAGCTTCTCCCTGTTTTGATGGCATTCTGTGAGGTAGCGCACAGCCTGAAGGGCACACAATCACAAGTTTGGAACATAAGAAACGCATTCATCCCACAGCACAATTACATTTCCGCATACAAGGTTAAGGAGCATGGTATTTGAATTAAGATTACGATTAGAGACAGACTCTTCAAGGCAGCCAAGTCACTTCAGTAACCAGGTGCATTGACCAGCTAGGCCCTACTGTCTGCAGTGCACTCCTAGTTTTTCATGCACATTTTTTCACTTGAGAAGTACTGCACCAAACATCTTAGCTAGATGTAAAATTGCATGACTAAGACCTCCTCAGCAAAAACTTGACAGATTTCTTGATTTATCTTAGATTAATTCAGACTATTTTGAGGAAGTCTTACTATGTTGTTGCTACGATGGCTCAAGAGGGACAGTAATATTGCCGCTTTATTCTTGTTTTTCAAGCTAAAGTCTTTAGGGAGTACGCCTAGCAGAGATCTGCTAGGAGCAAACCAAACGTATGTATGCAGACGCCTTTAGAATGCAATGCATCTGCTACAAGGGGCCTTACCAGGAGTGCTGAGTAGACAACCTGGGGGTTGGGGTGGTCCAGAAAAAGGATAAGTCCCGGTAAGCAACCTTGGTCCTGAACGATGGCTCTTCTGTTCATGGGATCTGCAGCAAGATCCCTCAGCTGGTTCACCACAGCCAAAGCGTCTGGCTCCCCACTCATGATGCTGCGTCTTACAGACCCATGCAAGACTGAATCGACTGAGGGAGAGGAGAAGAGATGGAGGGGCTGACATTAGGAAACATGTCATCTGCTGCTGTCAAATGTCTTAGCTAACTCAATAGTAAGTTCAATACTATAGCTACTGTAACCCCAGTATGGAGCTAGATAGCTACATTCCCCAGGGCAACAATGTATGCCTTACTCCAATATAAATAACCTGTGTTTAGTAGACATACAGTGCCGGAATTATTCACACCCCTTGACTTTTGTTGTGTTACAGCCTAAATTTAAAATGGCTTAACTTGAGATTTAGTGTTACTGATCTACACACGATACCCCACAATGTCAAAGTGGAATTATGATTTTAGAAATGTTTACAAAATAATTACAAATTAAAAGCTGAAATGTCTTGAGTCAATAAGTATTCAACCATTATGTTATGGCAAGCCTAAATAAATTCAGGAGTAAAAATGTGCTTCACAAGTTACCTAATAAGTTGCATGGACCCACTCTGAGTGCAATAATAGTGTTTAACATAATTTTTTTATGACTACCCCATCTCTGTACCTAAGACATACAATTATCTGTAAGGTCCCTCAGTCGAGCAGTGAATTTCAAGCACAGATTCAACCACAAAGACCAGGGAGGTTTTCCAATGATTCGCAAAGAAGGGCACCTATTGGTAGATGGGTAAAAAAAAAAAAGCAGACATTGAATATCCTTTTGAGCATGGTGCAGTTATTAATTACACTTTGGATGGTGTATCAATACACCCAGTCACTACCAAAATTCAGGTGCCCTTCTTAACTCAGTTTATGGAGAGGAAGGAAATCACTCAGGGATTCACTATGAGGCCAAGGGTGACTTTAAAACAGTTACAGAGTTCAATGGCTGTGATAGGCAATAACTGAGGATAGATCAACAACTTTGTAGTTACTCCACAATACTAACATAAATTACAGAGTGAAAAGAATGAAGCCTGTACAGAATAAAAATATTCCAAAACATGCATCTTGTTTGCAATAAGGCACTAAAGTAAAACTGCAAATAATGTGGCAAAGAAATTAACTTTTTGTTCGGAATAGAAAGCGGGGCAAATCTAACAACACCACTGAGTGTACCACTACATATTTTCAAGCATGGTGGTGGCTGCATCATGTTGGGCATGCTTGTCATCAGCAAGGACTATGGAGTTTTTTAGGATAAAAAGTAATGAACTTGGTTTAGTCTGCTTTCCAACAGACATTGGGAGACAAATTCACCTTTCAGCAGGGCAATTACCTACAACACAAGGCCAAATATACACAGGAGTTGCTTACCAAGATGACATTGAATGTTCCTGAGTGGCCTAGTTACAGTTTTGACTTAAATCGGCTTGAAAATCTATGGCAAGACTTGATTATTTTTTTTTAAGAATAATGAGCAAATATTGTACAATCCAGGTGTAGTCTTAAAGACTTACCCAGAAAGACACAGCTGTAATCGCTGCCAAAGGTGATTCTAAGTCAGGGGGTTGAATACTTATCTAATCAAGATATATTCGTGTTTTATTTTCCATTAATAAAAACAACAAAGTTTGAATTTTTCTTCCACTTTGACATTAGATTATTTTGTGTAGATCATTGGCAAAAAAAAAAACAATTAAATCAATTTTATTCCTACTTTGTAACAACAAAATCTGGAAAAAGTCAAGGGGTGTGAATACTTTCTTAAGGCACTGCCCCTAGGCTTTAACTGTTATTGCTAGGATCAAAGTTAGCTAGCGACCAAGCGCTCTTCTTACCTATCCAGCTAGCTAGCTCTCGACAACTAGGTAGCATTCTGCCTTCTCCCTACAGTTTCCATCCATTAGTTTCGTCCCCGACTACCTTATGTGAATTACAATCCCGAAGTAATGTTTTAACGTTTAGAAACGTCAATAATAATTGTTTGGACACAGCTTTCGAAACATATGGCCGTTATTTTTCATAAGCGACAAAAAAATCCTTAACTTAATATAGCAGTTTTGCAGATTCATACAACTAACGTTAGGTGCCTCCACCTGATGAAACTACACTTCCGCTACACTTGACGAGTTAATTAGCACAGGTGGTCCCCTCTTATATAAACAAGCGCTGTAACATGGAGATATGGCCGTGTGGGAACACTAAACATTTTGAAAATTATCCAATGAGTCTTGTGTAATGTAATGGAACTGTATGGTTAAGGGCTAGCTACTACCATCTAGCCAGCAAGCTGACAACGTGTTTGTCAGGACAGGCGAGAGATTCTATATGATCGAGCCAACGTGGAAAATATAGATAGCTAACGTTAGTACATTTATTTAACTAGATATTGGTGACACTATTGGCTGAGTGTTCGCTCTAGTTGGTAACTTAATTGTTACCAAGTTTGTAAGATACACCATTATGTTTTGCATGCAATTACAACAGTATTTAGCAAAACAAGGGCTCAAATCATTGAACATAGCTAACATCGCTAGTTAGCATTGCCAGCTAACTAAAATTTGCTAGCAAAACAGTCGCATACCTTCAAAGAAATGGCTGTTCCAACCAGCACAAGGTACACACAGCGTCCGAGAAAGACAGCATGAAACAAATCCAACGGGTAAAATAACACAAATGTAGCCTGAAGCTTTTATTTTCTGTTATTACATTACAAAAATCTGGTATTCGGCAAGCCACAACCATTACTTTTTTCCTTGGTGAGCAGGGTCGTCACTAATCTAGTTAGCACAGTCATAAACCCCGCCTATTTCTACAATTGATCTTCTTAAAATCAGATTTAGAGTTAACCCTAACATTAACTACAATCCTAACCTTAAATTAACACCAAAAAGCAAATTTTTGGTTTATTTTGTTTTTAAAAATTACGATATATATTTTTACGGTATTTTGACTTGTGTTATCGAAACGGCCACTCTCCACTATAAACGTCTCTGATTGGACGTTGTAGACGACATGCTCACTTCACAGGCCATTCAGCTGCATTGTTCTTGAAGTGAAAGAGCCGACGCCCTGTGCTTGATGTCAGATGTTGGGCTAGTTCGAAGACGATAGTGCAGGCGACTGCCGACAGACTGATCTACAAATCACCTTCCATTAGAAATAGCTACTCATTATTATTTGTAGATCAGTCAGTCACAATGTTAGGACTACCCATGATACATAAAAGTTTTGATACTCTCTAACACGGCCGTTGCCTCCGTATGGCGAGCTAAAATCAGGTTTGCGGTTTAGATATATCTATCCATCCATCATCTCATTCAGTACTGTATGGTGCTGCCTGACAGAAATGCATACAGTTACACGTTTTTTAATGTTGTGGCTATTGTAATCGGCGCAAGGAAAACAAGGGTGCTCAGACATCGATTTGTGTTTTGTTTTGGGGAGGGGGGTCCAAGGTTCCTTAAAGGATTTTGTATCCTTAGCCCCTAGTCTTGCAATTAAATCAGGTGGCCATCACAGATTATCTTGATATTATTTATATTTTGTCTCAAATCCAATATGGCGTCCAAAATCCAACATGGGTGCCATAATAACATTTGATGGCGGTTAAATGATCTGTAAATATGAATTGTGTAAATGAGAGGCATTTTTACAGAATTGTGTACAAAACACTGTTAGTGTGGGGAGCCTATTTTCTTATAACTAGATGTGATGCCTAGCTTAGAAAGAATACATTAATGATTAAACATAATAGGTTTGTGCTGTACTGATATAGATTGTTTAACATAACAAGCTGTGATTAATGTGAGGAACCGTTAGGGGGTAGGCTGAGACAGACTTGTGATTCTCACATACACACACACTGCCTCTTTGTTAAACCGCTCAAGGACAAAGTACTGCAACATGAAAAAGAAAACTGTGTCTGGGGTTGCTGACTCGAGACAAGTTGTGAAGATAACAACTAATGCCTGGCAACAGTGAAGCGCCAAGGGTCTGGGACCAGCCTGTGCGCCAACGATAGGCTGAGTAAGTCTAAACCACGCTCAGCCTCTACTCTGATAGGCCTGCTTGGAGCAGGAACTATCTCTGTCAGAGTATTAAAATAATAATTTTGGGTTGGGACAGTTAGTTCTCTGACTGCCCTGCGTGGTGTTTCAGTGGGCCCGTATATACGAACATCATATTTACCATTCAAGTGTTTGCATTAATTAAAATACTAGTCTATTTTAGAAGACGTGTATTGATCTCTTTTTGTTCCTATACCAGATTTGAATTGACGCAACTTGACAATTGGTGACCGCCGACGTGATCTGGTAGAGGGACTTCGCTGGATATCGTCCGGCCCATTGGACATCGCTGTCGTTGGACGGTGTGTTTCACAAAGAGTCCGGACAACTAAAAACAGGTAAGCAGACACCTATTGTTATATAACTAAAGTTCTGCACATTGGCTTTATCCAAATTAATTTTGTGAAACACCTGTCTGATGTAAGTGAACTAAATTATGAATTATTATACAAATTATTATGAGTAGATAAGCACCATATTGTGACATGCAAACCTGTGGTGAATGTGAGTGTTAAACCATGGTACCATAGAGTATTGTTCCACTGGCAACGTCCGTAACTACGAGGGTACGGCTAGGACCAGGGAAAATACTGAAATCCTCAGGCTAGGACCACCAGGGGTGGGAACTGGGGGTATAGGGAATTATTGGATTAAAAGTGTTGCGCTACTGGCAAGGATCGTAACTACGAGGGTACGGCTAGGATCAGAGGGACACTTAAAACTTTAGATAGTGTTGCGCTATCGGCAAGGTCCGTAACTAGTACGGCTAGGATCGTAGGAGCACTTTAAAGTACACTATAGTGTTGCTCTTCGGCAGGGAGTTTTACTTGGGGGTACAGCCCAGATCGGAGGAGCACTTTAAAGTATAGGGTGTTGTAGGAATGAGAGTGCGAATGATCCCAGTGTAATAAAATAGTGAATGCGGGTTATTAAAATTAATAAACCTGTATACCTTGATAGAAAACTAATTAGGAGTTAAAGAAGT